GTGCAGAGAGCCATGCCCTTCATAGTGGGTGTAAAGCAGAGAAGAAACAGGAAAGGACCAGGAACAAAGTGTCCCAATCTCCATGAAGATGTGCCAGTGATCCACTTCCTCTAGTTAGACCCCCCACTTCCTAAGGTTCCCAGAGCTTCCCAAGATAGCACCAGGAGCTGAGGACCTAGGTTCCAACAACATCAGGACCACTTCACATTGAAACCCCAATAAGCATCACAGTAAACCCAGTAAACCCACACCAAACTGCGAGGTGGTGTTGAAATAAAGAGAATTATCAATGAAGTCGACATAAGAGCCCCCAAACAGCTGCACACAGATGCAAACACTTGACTTGAGATTAAGATAGAATTGCAGGTCAGATGGAAAAGAAAGGACTTCACAATACCAGAATAATTAATATTACTTTGCAGTCTCTCATAACATAATCCAAAATCAATTCCAAGTTAATTAAAAAATTGTTAACATAGGAGGCAAATCTATAAAACATATAAAGGAAAAAAATTTTAAATAGGGAGATTTCTTTATTGTCTCAAAGCAGGGAAGACTTCTTAAAACACAGATGGAAAAAAATGTGAAAGAAAACATGTTAAAATTGGACTACATTAAATTAAAAACTAGTTTGCATCAGGAGAATATAAAAAGATAATGAAACAACATACAAATTGAAAGACTATATTTTAAAATATACTTAATTGGCAAAGGATTACAATCTAGAATATATATTTCATCATTATAAGATGCAAATTTCTTTTCTGTCTTAGGAACTCTTTTATCAGGGTGCATCTTACAATCCACTGTGTGTATTTCTGTATTTGTTAGTATATTTCTTTCACAGGAATAAATAAAAGAGCAGTACCTCTTATAATAAGAGATCTCAAAAATTCAATGAAATATATCATAAAGAACTAGAGATCAACATGCAAAAGAGGCAAACAAAACTCAATCAGAAATGGGCAGGATATTTGAACAGGCACTTCACAGAAAAGAGCACTTGAATAGCCTATAAATATGTGCAGAAAAGGCTCAGCCTCATTAGTAATCAGAGAAATGCAAATTAAAACTATAATGAAATACCGCTTCACACTTGCCAGCTTGGTAAAAATTAGAGGTTTGACAACACAAAGTGATAGAATGTTGAACTAAAATGCTTAAATTTGCTTCTGGGAGTGTAAATTCGCACAATTACTACAGAGTGGATTCAGGCTTTACCTCATCTAAGAGGCACATAACCTGTGACTCAGCAACACCAATCCTAGATCCAGAGATAACCTCTGAGATGTGGGCACCAGGGACACAGATGAAGCATGTTCATGGCAGCAGCATAATGACATAGCCGAGAAACAAATGAGTCTCAGGATGGGGTATTATACGTCAGAGAAATAAAAGAAAAAAACAGCTGTACCACTGACAACGTTAGCCCTTACGAGCATAATACTAAGCAAAATGAAAGTATGTTTCTGAATGCTGGGCCCCATTTAGAAACAATCACAAATATGCAAACTTAAATAAAACATTGTTCAGACCTCAAACATACACTATGAAGCCTTCAAAATGAAAGATAATCATGAAGAAAAACTTCCAAATAAAGTTTTGAGTAAAGAGTCTAGAAAGAAGCACCCATACATCTTAGAGGTCATGAAGACATCCTAATTTTACAATGGGGTTGGAGACAGGCACAGGATTATGGTACAGTTATTTGGTTTTTCTACACCCATGTTTTGAAAATATATTTTAGTATTGACTCAATATTTTATTTCTTAAATTAAAACAAACAAAAAAAAGGTTTTCATAGCTAACCTGTTTCTTTACCCCATATATCCTACACACTTGTGGCAGTCAATCATAAGTATATTTTACTTTCTTAACCATTGAGCCATCTCTCCAGCTCATATTTTACTTTCTAATGTCCCTAAAAGTGACAGTGTCACCAGAAAAAGGATTAAGGTCAGCTTGTTCTTTCAAAGAAACAGAAAGATCTCTATACATAGTGGAAATACTTTGTTCAATATAAAATATATTTTAAATGCTTTTGTACTGAATAAGGTAAGATGTTTATTTAGAAAATTCACTGAAGTGGGAAGACTTGAATATTCATGATGACAAATGAAGTGTTATAATGCATCATATTTAAATAAACTCATAAGAATAGAAGTTTTCATATTTTCTTTGCATACCCAATAGAACAAAACCCCACCCACTAAATCTCGATTTCCCAATTCTGCTCATTACTCCCAGGCCTTCATCCAAAAGCCAAGTTTTCACCAATATATTCAGAAAGAAAATTTCCACAAATTTAAAGTTACAGAGCATTTATTTTAAATAAGTAAATGGTGAATAAATATCCTAGTCAGTTTTTATTGTCAACTTGGCATAATCTAGAGTTGCCTGGGAAGAGGGAACCTCAATAGAAGAATTGTCTAGATCAGACTGGTCTGCCGCCATGCCTCTAAGAGATTGTCTTGAGCGATAATTGCTGTGAGAGGAGGATCCAGCCTGCTGTGAGAAACACCATCCCCACCCAGTCAGGCCTAAGCTGCATAAGAAAACCAATTGAGCCAGCCAGAGAGCAAAGCCAGTAAGCAGCAGTATAGCGCTACAGTTCTGTTCCAGTTTCCTGCCTTCAGTTCCTGCCCTGACTTCCCTCAGTGATGGACTGTGGCCTGGAAGTATGAGATGAACTAAACCCTTTCTTCCTCCAAATTATTTTTACTGATGGTATTTATCACAGGAACAGAAACCAAACTATGATGGACAGAAAGACAGACAGACAGATAGATAGACAAAAAAAAACAAATAAATAAATAAATCTATGTGTGTGTGTATGTAGGTAGGTTGGTCGTTTTGTCATGTTTTTAGGTTGGTTTGGTTTGTTTTTGGTGGTGGTGGTGCTGGTGGTGCTGGTGCTGCTGCTGCTGCTGGTGGTGGTGGTGGTGGTGCTGCTGCTGCTGCTGGTGGTGGTGATGGGTAGTGGTGTGATGATTTGCTGTGCTGGAAGTCAAACCCAGGGCTTTGTGCATGCTGAGCAAGCTTTCAACCCCTGAGCTCTGTCTGGAGCCCTTGAGGGGAGGTTTTAATGATGTAACTGAGTACCTACAAAATGCTGTGGATGTGACAGAATCAAATCCAGATGGGATCCCACACTGAGGATACTTTCTGTCTAGGAGGGGATGTAGTCACTAATCAAAAAAAAAAAATCACTCAGATAAAAATTCAATTCTGTTTGGCATACGTGATGCATAATGTAAGAATTTAAATAGAGAAAAGAAGTCCTGGTCAAAGGCAGTTGAGCTGGGCCATGAAGAAAGCATAGGCATGAGCTAGACTTGCATGCTGTGGTAAGAACAGTAGTAAGAGGCAAAGGGAGGAAAATTCCAAGCAGAGGGTCAGAGGGTGCAGAACATAGCAGTAGATACCGCATGTGATTTACAGTCAGTATTCACACTAAGGAGGAATGAAAGGTAACAATAATACATATGGAATGGCTTGCTCAGGTATAAAGACTGTGTGAGTTTTTTATTAAATATCAGCTATTTCTTATCCAGACTTAAGTATTCATAGCTAATCTTTGTGTGTGATTGATAGTACTTGTACTACTCACTTTTTGGTTGCAATTCAGGTTATACTTGGAAACATATGCATATCTGCATAATGAACTCAAGAGTATAATGTAAAGACAAGGAGAAAGGAAATTGATGGATTCAAACAATTATATTACCATATTTTACATCTGAAAGTAAGTTCATTCAAGCATATAAAGCCTAAACTCATTTGTTCAACACCCCATGGAAATACAGTCATTCATTCATTCATCAAATACTTAATGAACATCTATCTAGTGCATGCCAGAGGGAAGGATGCAGTGTTCCCCTCGAGGAACATGACACTTTGTGGAGAATTCACAACATGGAAGACTGAGGAAGGGGGGTCACACGTAGCTGGAGTATGATCCATCCTTTCAGTAGAGACTGGACTCATTCCAGGTGGTATGGCTCTAGACTGATGTGTTCTTTCAATCTGAGAACCACAGAGGATAACAGGGGCAATATGATCAAAATATGATATATTCATAAATGAACATATCATATAGAAACTCATTGCTATATTGCTAATATGTGCTAAGAAAAGACTTTTTAGATATGAAATTATACAGGATATATTAAGAACAAACAATGCACAGAACAGAGGAATTAGTTGGAAACCCGAGTGAAAACAACAGCTATTGAAGAAATTGTAATCATGGAACACCACTGACTCTAAAAAGGAAGTCACTGCACACGATTAGTCATTCTAGAAAGTTTTCTTGGGAGGAATTTATTCTACAGACAGGTATTCAGAAAGTCATAATGGTGTAGTCACATCATTTCCATATCTGAGAAACATTTTTTTTTGAAGGACAGAGTGAGAAGGTGTATGGAATAGGTGTGAAGTAGGTGACCATACTACATAAAGAGAATAATTAATGCCTCACATTGATAAGCCTAAAAAAGTAATAACTGTAAGGAAACAGCTATAAAAGTTCAAAGTGGTTGTTTCTAAGAACTAGATGGCTGAGCATAGGGCAGCTTCTGCTACCTCCCACTCCAAGCCTTAGGCAGCCTGACACTTCTCATTATATTCACAGACTATGTTGATCATTTTTAAGAGATGCTGGTTTTAGCAATATTTTTTAATTTGTTGTTTGAGAATTTAATGCACGCATATAATATATTTTGATCAAATAACACCCTCCACAGATGCTGTTTTTAAAAGAAACTGTTAAAATATAAGACCTACATAAGCATTTAGGTTGCATATAAGTAAATGAGTGGCCTTGTCTTTACCAGAAAGACACAATGAAAACTCTGCTCAAAGGTTCAGCTCAAGTTTGCTGCTGTTATCGTGGGGTCATTTCCATTCTCACTAAAACCTCTGTTAGTCAGCTTCCTAATACTATGACAAAACACCTTTGATATTCAAGTTATAAAGAAGAAGGTTTGATATTTACTCACAGTTTTGAGGATTTCAGCTCATAACCAACTAAGCCCTTGTTGATTTGGGGTTTGTACAAAGGCACACATGGTGATCACATCATGATAGCCTAGAAGAGAAAGAGAGAGAGAATGAGACTGGATCCCCACAGTCCTATTCAAGGACAGACCTCTAATATCCTACCACTGTCCACTACCTGCCACCTCTTACAGGCTCTCCTACCTCCTGGTTAGCACTGTGGGCCAGGAACAAAGGCTCTTACAAATGGGCTTTTAGGGAATTTCCAGATTCAAATAGTAGAGAGCCTTGTCGTCGTGTTCCGTAGGCTCCACAGGTAAACTCTTGGAGTGGCTACCCTGTAGCATTGATGCAACCTACTCTGCACATTTCCATTTTCCTCACTGTTTGTCTTCTCGTGAGAAATCCTCATATAACCCAATTCCATCTCCCACATCTACTGAATAACAAACTCTCCATTAAAACACAACGTGGGCTTTTTAAAAAAGCAAGCCACTGCACATGTTCAGTTGTTCTAAAAAGTTCTCTGGGGAGAGATGTATTCTACAGACATTTTCCTTTGTGTGGAAAAAAAAAGCACAAAAATTAGCTTCTTCTCTAAATGCTGGGCACCATGCTTGTAATACCAGTATTCAGGGAGTGAAGACAGGAGGCTTGAAAGTCAAGAGAAGTCTGGACTGTGTATTGAGTTTCAAGCCAGCCTGGGCTTCACAGTGAGATCCTGTTTCAAAGAGGAAAAGAGAAGAGACGAAAGAAAGAAATGCTGACAACCAATTCATCCTTGCTCCAGAGAACCATGCAGTCACTCACCTGTCTTGGGGAAATGTGTACATTTATAGTGAATCTCTCTCCTGGATTCAATATATGAAATAACCATTTAGCTTTGGGTGATTCTGAAGTATCCATCATCCAACTTGCCTTCTCTCATCTATTCTGCTTCCTCCAAGCCCAGAAGGATTAATGGAAAGCTATTGATCTTGTTGAGTGAAATGCTGAAAAGGTTACTGAGAGTCAAGGGGACCCAGCTCTCAGGGGGCAGGAAGCAGCCAGGCTTCCAACTCTATCAAGGGTTTATCTTCAGAGAAACATGGTGTATACAAACAAGGACTCCTGCCATTCTGCTCAGAGAGGAAGACAATGGCTCACCTCTGCTTGATGCCAAAGCTTTCCAGATAAGAGCTTGGATAGTTCTACTGTTTCTCCATAACTTTTAAATGAGTGAGCAATCTGTTGTTGTTACTTAACGGCCCCGTCTTCCAGATCAAAGGTCAGCTTATGACTTATAAGTTAAGAAACACATGGGGATGGGGAGGAGGAGGGGCACAATGCTGTCTGAGTGTGGAAAGGACAGCCAGAAAGATCTAGATGGGAACCAAGCTCCCTTTAACAATGACAGAGATGAGTGACTAGAGATATTGCAAGATTCAGAGGGAGATGTTAGTAAAATACATGTATAAGAAAGTAATTAAGGAAACAATATGCTTACTGAAGCATGTGGATATACTTAAGTCCTGATTCAGCATGGAGCCTTTTGCACAGGGACACTCTTCAGGTGGACCTCCTCTCATTCATCTGCTTTATTAAGAACAGGGTCTCAGATAGCCTGGGGTATCTTTGAACTTGCTATATAGCTAAAAATAACCTTGAATTTCTGACCCTTCTGATTCTGCCTCTGTGCACTGGGATTACAGATATGTAACATCACACATGGTCTAAGTGGTACTGGGAATCAAACCCAGGGCTTTGTGTATACTAAACAAGCACTCTACCAACTGAGCTACATACCCAGCACCCATCATTCATCCTTATCCGGGGAACAAAAACATGACAATCGAGGGTCTGGACACTCCTTATGCAACAAAACCCACTAGAGATGGTGTTGAGGTTCCCTAGCTTTCTTAAAAGCCAACCAAAATTTCTTCACATTCTCTCATTCAATCAGCTCCTAGGATGACTTCCAGAGGTGTGCGTCTATTTTGAGAATACTCCTTGTTCTTGTCCTTCCATGACATCATTTCTGTCCTGGAAACCCAAGTTATATCCCATAGATCAGAAATAAGAACCCAGGGTACATGATCCATATCATCCCACACTTCCTTATTGGAAGCACTCCAGATCGTCTCATCTCTCCACCATGCCAGAAGGGCAGACATTGTGTCTCCTGTAAAGGGCCTACCCCATGTGGGCATATAATACACTTCTGTAAAATTAATAAGTACTATAAAATGGTACTACACCTGACACTACAAAAATAGCATGATATAAATATGATGGGTTTTCCCATATTCTTAAGTTCAAGAGTCTAGAATGAAAAGTAGCAAGCAATTAGGATTGATTTATGATAGGCACACCTTTAGTTGCATTGTTGTGAATTAATTAACCTATTTCATTCTCACTCTTACCCCACAAGGTAGACACAACTAATATTTGTGCCTTGAAAATAAGGAAACTGAGGCACAGCCTGTCTTATCTTCCATAGATAGTGGCAGAAGCAAGATAAATGCACAGATTTGGAGGTTCTTGAACCCCAGACTGTAACTATCTAGCCACTTTACCATTTAGTTCCCCAAAGGAGAACAATGCACGCTGCAAGGCATCATCACACACCTCTGTGTGGTACACAGTGACCAAGGAGTCAAAAGAGAGAAATCACTCCCAGGTGAGGAAACGTGTGAGGCAGATTGGTCCTCTCCTGTGTCCTCTTTCCCTCCTTCCCCAGCCCTATAGATTCTCCAAGCAACCAATTTTCGAACCAAGTTCAAAACTTCAGAACCAATTGACACCCAATCAAATTCAGTGCCCAAAATTTAAGTGGGAAGTTGAGGACTTGGTTCTAATAAATTTCAACACTGGGCCACAAATTATTCGGTGAGTGGAGCTGGTAAAAATCCTTTACCTCCCAGGAGAGAAAATAAACTTGCTAAATATTATATATGGCACAATCTGACATAAAATATTTTTCAAAGAAAGGACTCTTGTCCCGACTTCTATATTTATGGGCTTAAAAATTGAAAAGGTTTAAGATGCGGGTTTTTTTCTTTTTCTTTTTATGTTTGGCTTTTCTTCTCTTTTACTGCTTTGAAAATAAAGTGGCAATTCATGGCCATAATGGATAATTCCACAGTTTGCCGTCTGGAGAATAAGGAACAAGGCACCCTTCGTATTTGATATTCATGGGTTCCTAGAGGCCAGAGCCCTGACCTTGTGACCTGTGGTGGCTAATGGGAGAAGCCAAACCCGTCCACTTCTCATTCTTGATCTTGTTCAGAAGGGTCCCCTGGCATTTTCAAAGGACAATGAAAACATTCCTGGGCATCTGGCTCCTTAACCCCATCCTGCTAACAGCTCACTCTGTCTTTGAAGAGGTCAAGATTTATTGTCGTCATAAGCATCATTTTCATACTTCTCAGGAGCAGGAATGGCTGAGAACAATGGGGGAAAGGGAATTCACTAGAGGTGGAAAATGAAGCAAGCTGAATGCCATTACCGTCATCAGTCAATGTGTTTGGGGTGGCTAACAGAAGTCTCTAAAAGTAACCACTTTAACTCATCTTTATCAAATAGAAATTTCTAACTAAGGTTTTCAGGCTGCACTACTTTGAACATTTGCTTTTCCTTCTTCCTGAATTTAAACTGCAGAAAAGACCAGAAAGGTGCTTATTTTCTCCTCCAGAGAAAAGGGCGACATGAAGATGGAGGGACATTCAGCTGGTTCTTGATATAGAGGAAAACCGTGATGAGGTGAAGCCGAGCAGCTCCCCTTTAAACACCCCCCTGCCTGGCTCTGGAGACAGCGCAGTGGGCAAACTGGATGCACAGGAGTGAGGACCCGCAGTTGAGTCCCAGAACCCACATCAACAAGGCAGGCGAGGGGCCAGTGCTCTTGTAATCCCAGAGTTCATGGTTTGCTGGCTAGCCTGCTTGGGAAGCCCCTTTAGACTCCCTGAAGGAATCTGTCAAGCAGAGACCATCATGATACAAAATCCCCAATGACCCTCCAACCAACTGCTAAGCACGCATCCTCCATTGATCACTAAGTGAATTGTCTCTTTTCTATCATTGGTTGAGTCCTAGGAAAGTTATTTTTCCTTAGCACCTTCATCATCATCATCATCATCACTACCATCACTATTATCATGACTACTAGTTAAGAGAACTGCGCTAATAAGCACTATTTCCTGCATGCATTGTTCAATTTACTCTTCACAACAATGCTCTGAGGCAGACAGTGTTTTCCCATTGAAACTGAGCCACTAAGAAGTTAGTAAAGCACTTGATGTTGTCAGGAGCATAGTCAAGATCCAAATCCAAGAGAGCCTCCTCTAACACTTTAGAGGCCCTCAGACCGACCTGAGTGCTGCCTGAGTCCTCAGGTTTTGATGGGTTTAGGGTAGCAATTCAGAATACCTGGAGGGCTGAAGTTGATCTCAACTCCTGCCCATCACAGAGAAAGACTAAATAGATTGGAAAATCACCAACTCCCCAAACTAGAAGTTGCCTTAGCAGGACTTCCCAAGGCATGGTATGTAATAATCATCGGGAATCCTTATTCAAACACTGAGTCAGATTCAGTGAGTCTGAATGGAACCGAGACTCTGCATTTCCTCTACCTCCTGGGTCATCTAATTGCTGCTGGTCCCGAGGCCACATTTTAGGGGCAAAACCCTAGCGGAGATCTACTCTAACCTTTTACCCCAGTGTATGCTTATTCTGCACAGACTTCCCAAAGACCAAAAAACCCTAAGTAAAGGGTGCAAGGCTGATGAGTCAGAATCTAGAAATGTGGGCCCTAGGCCTCTTAAATGGGATGCCATTCCTACCCAAGCAGCACAGTAAAGGCAGAGTTTGTACTGTGAGTTTCCTGTGAGCAACAGCTGCCCTGTGTGCATCCCAGCTCATGCTCAGGTAATATCAAAATAAAGCTGGAAAGAGCCCACCTAATGCATTTAGTCGTGGAAAAACACACTGATCTTAACTTGTGTTGTGACACATGAAGCTTTAATTATTTACCAGTTCTTAATGCCTGATTCATAATTAATACCAGAATACACTTCTCTCCCTAGCTGCTCCTTGATTGCTGCCACAGCTCTG